CTAAAAGGGCAACAAAGATGGGGCAGGGGTTGAGTTCCTTGGGTCATCTCAAGGAAAACACTTGATCTTCCTGGACAACAGCATTCTCTTCTGTAAATGGAGAAATTTATTTGCATAAATTTTCCCTTGGTTGTTCTAGAAGGATTAAATAGCCAATGTCTGGAAGCAACACGAGCCATTCCGAAAATAAGGCTCTGGGAGCCTATGCTTTTCCTTCTCAGAAGGATTTATTGCTTCAGCACTGGGGCTTGCATGCATTGTGTGTACAGAGTTGGGACTGACCTTCCTGGTTCAAGCAAAGAATTTATTTCTTTAGCAAACACATATGTAGTGGTTAATATGTGTTAAGCACCATTTTAAGCTCTACAAATTTTAATTCATTTAATCCTTGCAATAACACTATAAAATTGGCACTATTGTTATTTTCATTTACTGAGGTAAGGAAACGGCCCCAGACTGGTGAAGTAATTTGCCCCAAATCTTGCATTTACTAAATGATAGAATCAGCGTATAAACTCAAGCTACCCGTTTATAGATTTCATGTTTATAACCATGATGCTATGCTGCTTCGAAGGAAATTTTGAGAATTGACTGAAAATAACCCCCACTTTATGTTACTGAGGGGTTTTCTTGGTCTGTTTTAAATATAAAAACCTACTTGCCTACTTCCTGATTGATAGCCAATATTTATCCCAAACGGAAAGTGATTCCTGAACTTAATCTTGCAAGGGTGATTCTTCTTCTTAAATGCCTTCCGTGAGCTAATGGAACCCTTCCCATCACATGTACTTGAATGCATTTGAACACACAGATTGAGAACCGCCAAAAAAGGGAGAGGGAAAGTCCTTTTCCCGATTCATGGAGGAGGAATCTCAGCATGGATCTGTCCATCAGGAGGCTCAGAGTACTCAGGAAACCTCTCAGGAGATAAGCTGTTTGGAGGATTTTAAATCCACGAGCCCAACAGATTCCCCACCGCGCTGGTGGACAAGATTCACTTGACTCGCCTCTTGGATCTCAGTGGAATTAGCTTGGCTGTATATGACGTTCAGCATTTTGATCAAAATTAATGTAATGCAGCTGAGATCCAGATAACATTCGTTAATTTTAAAAATGTCGCTGTTTTACCTAACATGAAGCTTGGGTTGATCATGATCTTTTTATTTTTTTATTTAAAAAAAATTTTTTGGGGGGGCTTCAAACAAGTAATGCAAGGCGAAATACCTGCTTTTTCAATCTAACAAAAGAAATCCTGAAATCGATGTTGCCATCAAGCCATCTCGTTTCTTTCTGAATGTGTACGTAAAATTAAATGGCATTAACCTCACAGTTGACTGTGGGGATCAGAACAAAGCAATCGCCTTGAAATAACTGCTCTGTGCAAGAGCTATAATAAAGCTTGTGAACATCACCTCCATCCTCTATAAGTGACTTAGGATGACATTCTGAGAGTCGTGGTGGCACTTTACAGTTGGAATTGTTCTTTAATAAACTCTTTCCTCACAACTTACCACCCCTTACTCAGTAAGTACCTTCACAATCCATCTAATGGGCAGACAAGCATTATTACCTTTATAATCCAAAGAAAAAATAGCAAAGAGCTAAATTTGAAAAGTGGTTGTTAGTTAAGGCAAAAAAAAAAAAAAAACGATAAAGATGGTTAAAAAGCAGACAGAGGAGAAAATAGAACAAAGAGTTGTTTAAAAACTCCCACAGACAATGGACAATGCTTCCTACTTTTACTTTAAAATACTTAGATAAGGATAGAATGCCTCTAACCAAATTCCTCTGTTTTTTTTATTTTTCTGGTAGAACAGTTGGTTTGTGCAGGTGCTTATGAGGTTATACCAAGAGATTTCGGGTAAATACCTGCTATTGTAATGCCTTATTTAGGCACGATCTATTCAGGTTAGCTCTAAAGGGCTTGTAGTAGCACACTTGTGTTCTACACTAGCTCTCTGGAAACTGACAGCAGCTCCAACATTTCAGCAGTCTGTGGAGGCTGTGTAATCCAGCCCAGGGGCAGTGGTGTGTTTCTGCTCTCTGGGTGTCAGCCCTGTTTCCTTTTTGCCTCTCCATCTCATATTTGTTCAACACCTCTTTAAACAATTAATTTCTTGTATTAATGTTCCTCTGTCTAAAGTACTTAAAATAATTACATTTTCCTGAGTGGATGCTGAGCTTAATTTCAGGAAACTCATAGAAAATAAAGGATACTTCTTTAATTTTAATGATATCACTTAGAAACCATTCTTCCACTGGTGAATATTTTTAGAAGGGCTTCTAGAGGTATGCTAAAAGCCATTTAAAAGCTGTTATGAAGCAATAATTAATCAATTTCATTTACTCATTAATTATTTATTGACATGCCCAGTGTTGTACTTATTACATACATGTAAAATTTATTCGTAGCTTTTACATAGTTTGCTTCTCTTATTATTTCTTACCTAGTATTAACCAGGTTACAAAAAAGGATTTGACGGGAAGCAGACATAAATGCTAGTTTTCATTAAATTTTACCTTGGTTAACAGGAATAAAGCAACTCTGATCGCTCTAAGCAAAACAATAAGGCAATTATAAATCCTGGAACTATCAAAGGAACTTGAAACTGCTAGAAAATTGCCAAGCATCTGTAAGCCTCTAAAGGTTTATATCATCAAAGAAAATACACTTTAATTTTAAAACAGACTTTGCAATTTACTAATAGTACTAAATACAGTGTTTCTAGATGCAGAACATATTGCTTTTAACTTCTGTAAGGCTCACAGAAATCTCAACAAAAAGGGAAACTGGCTGATAGTCAACATGGAGCATAAAAGAAGAAGAAGCCTCAGGAGCTGAGAGGCAGGTGGCCCATGGTGTGGAGTCTACCTGAGTCAGAATCCCGGCCCTGCCATCATGGCCTATGAGCTGTAGAGTGCAGATTTCTCCTGTCTGAGAGAGATGATTATGACTATAATAACAGAAATGAACTCATAGGGTTCTGGTGAGGACCACATAGAAAGTACTTAGAATAGTGTCTAGGAGATAGTAAACATTCAGTAAATGTTATTATTAACAATTATGATTATGGCTGGTATGGTCACAGGGCACAGGCAGCCTGGACGCTAGTGAGTAATTTATCTCTGATCAGTACACTCACCTCAAACCTCTTCCTTCCTTCCTTGTTTCTTTCCTCCCTCCCCCTCCCTCCCTCCCTCCCTCCCCCCACTTCCTTCCTCCCTCCCTTCCATCCTTCCTTCCTTCCACCTTTCTCCCATCCTTCTCTCTCACTCTCTCACTTCCCCCTTCTCTGAGTGTGATTCTGTCTTTTTCTGTTTCCTTTTACCTCTCTCTCTCTTTCTCTCTCTCTCTCTCTCTCTCTTATTCTGCCTCTTCATTTAGTTCAATCTTCCCACCCCGATTTTTCCCTACCACCTTCTTCCCATTCCCATCAACCTCATTAATGTCCTTCCTCCACTAGTTATGATCTGTTTAAAATGCATTTTAATACTTACTCTTTTCAAGTAATCTAACATTTTCATATTTCTACTTAAAAAATTAGCAAGGGAAGTGTTTTACACCTTGAAAAATAAAGTCCTCAAAACTCTTTTAAATTATTTTATACATGTCATTGCCTTGGTTGGATATTGTTATTTGTGGAGCAATAACAAACAAAGCTGTCTTCTATTCCACCATGGTAAGACATCAGTGGATTCCTAGCTTTGAACCTGTAAAGAGAGAGAGAGAACAAGAGACAGAATATCAGAGAGAGAGAGAAAGAGAGAGAGAGATATATAAATTAGGGCTCATCCAGGGTGTAATAGATTAGCACCTGCAGTTGAAACACACAATCAGGAAGCTGGGCTGTGCACAAGAGTCTGAGCCCCAAAGCAGCTCCAACCACTGAGCAGGGCTGGCCAAGTCGAGGCTGGATGGCAGCCATGGCCAGGCATGTGGCAGAAGCAATTCCTGTCCTAGGAGGAGGAGAACAAGAGAACCCCCCATGGCTTTTCTTCTGGAATATTATGACGGTGGTATTCTTGTATCTTTTAGGTCGACATATTTAGACATTTTTCTCTCTTCTTGCTTGTATCTCAGAGCAACTAAGTAGACCTTAAAGATGATTCAGCAGAAAGTTCAAGTCCATTCTAGGTGCTTGTACTGTCACTCGTGTTTGGTAAAGCATGTATCTGTATTTGTTTACTTATTTAGTGGACGGTCTGGTATACCATGGGGAAAAAGATGCACTTGGTAGACAGGAAACATTTTATTAAAAAATACTTATGATGAAGCTACTTAATGAAAAGTACAAGTTATTTTTTTCTCTAAAATATTTTATTTTATCAATATAGCTTTTAATAACACCCAATCCACCCTATTACAGTATAAAGAGAAGTGAAATGGAAACAAAATTCCCTTTTCCTTTTCCACTGAAAAGCCTTCTACTTGGTACCTACTTCATTTAGGGATGCCACAAAATGATGCATGGTCTCTCAGTGTCCCATTGTACACTGAACAGAATTAAGATGGAAACCTAGAGAAGTATCAGAGCTAAACTCACTAGCAGGATAACTTTACATTATAACTCCATTTCTTAATACGTTACGTTTTCATCAGAATTCTTAATAGAAATAAAGATTAAAGGAGCTGACTTCCAAGCTGCTGTTTTCAAGAACACCTGGTCTCGGATTCTGTCATGGATCTGACATTTATAACATTGCTCACTGCACACTTCCATCCGTTCTATGAGCTCGCATTTATAGAGCGTATTTAGCGTCATAAAGATCTTTTACATGCATCATGGTATCTTACATTTGTGGAGTCCTTTAGCGTCTATGAAGCACATTCACCTTCATGGTGGCATTTGAGGTTTACAGAAATCTTGTTGTATTAAAGAGGGGGCCCACAGAAGACCAGCGATATTATAAATCATCCCCAGGTCACACAGGTAAGAGATAACTCAACCTTCTAATGAGACTTCATTTGAATCCAGGGCTTCTGATTTCTTTTCTCACAGGAAAACACCAACCAACACACACAAAAAAACTTGCAGATTTGTGCAAAGTGGGGACAGTGAACAGAATCTGAAGAGAACAGAACTCATGACATAAAATTCCTGTGTGCTCAGTGCAGCCCTTACTAGGTCAAGGTAGGTGTGTTGCCCTTTTCCATATTGCGTTATTTCAGCTCTATGAAGTGCACCAAGATGACACCAGCATGGCACTGACTTGATTTAGAACTGAGACACACACCTGTTCTTCTAAATATAAACAAATTTGCAACCTGAGCTACTTGCAGTCACTGGAGGGTAATCAAGTGAAAGCTGGGGCCGGCGCCTGCCTGCAGCCTGACCCTGGGCTTACAAAAGCACAAGGACGAAGAAAGCGTCATGCCAGGCAGGATGTTTGGCATTGCAATCTGGTGGTCACAGTGACCTTTTATCTCACCAGACAGATTGTAATTATTAGCTTTATGATCCTTATTGTTATTTTAAAATGTGCTTAGTTTGCTCTTGTGGTTCAGCTTGTACCCAGCTTGTTGAACTTTCCAGGTCCACTTGGTTTGCATATATGAAAGTTGCCTCAGTTGCCGTGTTTGGAGAAAGCTTATCTGAAGGGAAATTGTTTGCTGCACTCCAGAACACTAAATTAAATCTATAATATATTTTCAGTGTCCATGTGAAGGCAATATTGTTCCAGAGTCTAGAGTTCCTGGCTAGTCAAAGTATGTGACTATTCCTCCTTGATACTATGATGCCTCTTTCCATTCTTGCTCAGAGGGAAAGAAATCACACTGGGGCCCTTGGAAATGTTCCACATTATCCTTAACTGATGGGAGACTACAGAGGCGATGAAAATGTAAGTAGTCCCGGGCTTCCCTGGTGGCACAGTGGTTGAGAGTCCGCCTGCCGATGCAGGGGACACGGGTTCGTGCCCTGGTCCGGGAAGATCCCACATGCCACGGAGCGGCTGGGTCCGTGAGCCATGGCCGCTGGGCCTGCGCGTTTGGAGCCGGTCCCCAGCAAGGGGGGAGGAAAAAAGGGGGGGCGGCCGCCTTAAAAAAAAAAAAAAAAAAAAAAATGTAAGTAGCCCCGTGGCATGCGTGTTATGGTGCACGTGGTGGAATGGTACAGAACTGGGGGACTTGATTGATCTGATTGGCCAAAACTCTTAAGATGGTCCAGATTATGATCATAAGTAGGTTCTGAAAGCATTATTTCTAGATGCTGAACATCAGCAGAGAAGTCTCTTAATTCTCTTTCAAAATGACTGTCATGCAGTTGCAGAAGATTTGCTTGTTGACATTTTTGAATAGACAGAAAAGTGCCAACGAATAGTAAAACTGTTGCCATCTTTTGATTTGCTTATATATTCCTCCATCTTCAACCTGGTAGTTTGATGAATTCTACTAAAATGTCTTCTAGTGTGAATAGATATATTGAATTCTTGGGGTAAACCCTACTTGTGTATGGTGAAATGTTACATGTTTAGATCGAGATAGAGAGATTGATGGATACATGTAGATTGATCTAGCTGAGATGGTGATAGAGCTGGAGTTCAATTCTCCCTTTGAGAGAACCTGCTGCAAAGAGTCACTGGCAGACAGACTCAGCTGCTGTCACTTGGGAACTACCTTACCATTTGCGTGTGGCCACGCTCTCCCTGGTCTGTGCTCAGCCAATGACTGAGCACAGGAGGAATATTAGAGCTGGGCATTCCTGCTCCACCAAGAGGATGAGGATGAGTCAAAACAATATTACAGCCCAGGGGAGTGGTGGAGATTAATGTCACCATTAAAGACCTTAAATGTGGTGTTCTTTACCATATCTTCATGTAATTCATTAGTCTGGTCCCTGCAGAAACTGGATGAATCCTGAAGAATGACTATAGCCTACAACAAACAATCAAGTAGCTCTGATCACAGCTGCTATACAGGGTATGGTATGATTGTCAGAGTTAATTTATAAGGTCTCAGGTATATTGCAAGTCGCCGTGGATTTGGTGAGTGCATTCTTTTCTATCCCAACCAGAAGAGAAGGACAGAAAGCGTGCACATTCATGAGGACTACACAACGATAAGCATAGGTTTCCCCAATGGCTATGTTAACTCTCTTCCTCTTTCAGGATGCAATCCAAAGATGCAAATCCACCTGCATATCCTAAAGAACATCACATTGCTCCCATATATCAATGGTGCCATATTGATGTGGCAGGTGGAGCAAGCTGTGCTTAATATGTTGGAGACCTTGGTGAAATACACGCACTCTAGAGGATGAGAGGTAAATTCAGTGATGAATCAGGGACCCATCTCTCTGGTAAACTTCTAGGAATCCAGTTGTCAGGAGATTTCCAGTACATAACCTCCAAAGTATAAGTCAGTTGGCTAGAGCTTGTGCTGCCTTCTACTGAGAAGGCAGGGGGCACAGCTCCTTGTAAACTGCTTCAGGTTCTGGAGGCATCACATTCTACACCCGGGTCCTAGGAATACAGCTCTGTTTCATGTGCTGGGTGACATGGAAGGCTGCTAACTTTGAATGGAGCTTAGAGTAGGAAAGGGCTCTGTTTAGTAGGTCAGGCTGTGGTGTGAGCAGTTCTGCTATTTGGGCCATAGAGTCCAGCCACCTCTATGTTCGAAATGTCAGTGATAGAAAAAGATAAAGCATGGAAAAAATGGCAAGCTAAAAACTGGGAGGAGTACAGTGAAAGCCCCTGGTGTTCTAGAATAAGGTCATGCCATTTGAGTGAGAATTATATGGCTTTTGAGAAAACAACCCGATGTTTTATTGGGTTCTGGTAGAGGCAGAACATTTCACTACAGTGCACCTAACAGTCATGCATCTAGAACTACCCATTATAAGCTAGGTCCTCTTGGACCACCAAGTCATACAATCAGGTGGGCACAGCAGCAATCCATTGTAAGATGGAGATCATACATCAAGAATGGAAGTGTAGACGGAACAAATAGTAAGCATCATGAACAGATAGCTCAGATCCTCATATCTCCCACCAAAATTGCACCAGCACCTCTTCTCAAGCTTGTCCCTATGACTATACTATAGGGGGAAGTTCCTATATGGCCGAAGGAGGAGAAAAGCCCAAATTGGATGTACAGATGGGTGAGCTTGGTGGGTTGGTGTGAACTAAAAATAAAAAGAAGCTGTATTATGGCTACAATCAGGGTAACCCTGAGAGTCAGTAAAGAATAATTTTTCCAAAGATAGAGCTGTGGGCAGTGCTTGTGTGTTGAAGAAAAAGTAACTAAAGAGGAGGAGTAGCTAAAGGTGGTCAGAGTCTGTAAGGAAAAGGATTGGGAAGTTGGAGACAAGGAGGTGGATGGACATTAGGGGGTGGGCACGGTGTGCGAAGACTTTGTGTGCCCACTGCAAAGCACTTACCTCTGAAAAGGCACTGGAAAACCGAGGAGACAGATGATTTAGCCAGTTTGTGTTAGCCAACCTCCATCATTGGCGAAGCCCAGAACTGGCAATGAGGGTGTATGAACTGAGTGGCTGAGATGAAGGCTACACGTGGACTCCTCCTTCCCGTAGTCAGTCTAGCTACAGCTGCCTCTGTATGTTGAATGTTCAACCTATTAGCAATAGAAGCTAATGTTGATACCCAATATGACAGTTTTCTCCAAAAATCTAATTAGCAACTTGGTGGCAAGTTGACTATATTCAGTGTCTTCCATTCTGAAGAACCAGTGGTTAATCCCTACAGGGACAGAGACCTATTCTGGTATGGGTTTGCCTTTCTCACCTACAGACTCAGCCAGAACCACTTGTGAAGGCTTATGAATGCCTAGTCCACAAACATGGGATACCACATAGCACAGAATCCAACCAGGGCACCCACATTTCAGCCAAGAGGGTGGAGGAATGGGCCTGTGACCATGAATCCATTGGTTAAATCACATACCACCTGAAAGAGGCAGTCTGATAGCACATTAGAACAGCCTACTTCATGAAGGCAGAGCTGAAATGCTAGTCTGGTAGTAGTCCTTTGCAAAATTAGGTGCTGTCTTTCAGGACACAGTATATGCATTAGATAAGAGACTTCTATATAATGCTGTGTCCTTATCAAGAAGAATACATGACATATATACACTAACATGTATAAAATGGATAACTAATAAGAACCTGCTGTATAAAAAAATAAATAAAATAAAATTCCAAAAAAAAAGAATATATGAGTCCAAAAACCAAAGGATCTTGTTTGCCATTGTTCCCAATGACCCAACTACAGAATCGTTTATATAGCAAATAATTGAGAACAAGAGAAATGTCAAATTATGGTATATAACATGACAGAATGATAATTAATAGCTATAATTATTGAAATTAAGAATATTTATTATGTATTGACATTATCTAGGATAATTTTTAACTCTCATCCCCACAACCCTGGGTTCTTCAGGCTTAGATGTTCTAATCTCCAAAGGGCATTCACTTTTGCTAGGAGACACAACTAAATTTCCATTTAAATATAAGCTATGCCTGTCTCCAGGGCACCTTGGACTCTGTGTGTTCAGGTACTAGCAGGTAAGGAGGTGCCTTCATTCCAGGGATAACTGGCCCTGGGCAGAATGAGGAGGGAAGGCTGCTTTTACACAATAGAGACAAAGAAATGGAACCCAGGTCTCCAAGGTTTGGTATTTGTTTTTTATTTTCTTTTTTCAAGGTTATTAGACTCATTTTTTTCCAGAAAATATATTTGGTTGAAATACCTTCTGAGACTTCTCATGTTTGATATCTTTCTGTTTCTCTTATCTCACCTCACTATAACTTTCTTGTTTCACAGTATTCTTCATCAGAACTCTGTGGACATTGCTTCATTGCCTTCTGTCATTTTATGTTATGAAAAGAATTTTAATATGCAACTACTATATAATTTTTTTGTAGGCAACCTCTTTATTATTCTGCCACTGTTCATGCAGAATTTTGTTTCCTTTATTTTTGAAATAAAAACATGTCATAAAATATATGGCTTTTTTTCATTTGTTTTATCTGGTAATCAAGGGCCCCTTTGACCCCAAACCTCAAACCTGTTGAAGAAAAGTTTTTTATTTTTAAATGTTATTTTGAGTATTGCCTCTCATCCTTCTATTCTGTTTTCTCCTGAAACTGTTGTTACACGTGTGTCATTGTTCTTTGGTACCTTTTCCATGTCTCTTATCTTTTCTCTCATCATTTTCATATCTTTATTCTTTTTTTTTTTTTTTGCGGTACGCGGGCCTCTCACTGTTGTGGCCTCTCCCGTTGCAGAGCACAGGCTCCAGACGCACAGGCTCAGCGGCCATGGCTCACGGGTCCAGCCATTCCATGGCATGTGGGATCTTCCCGGACCAGGGCACGAACCCGTGTCCCCTGTATCGGCAGGCGGACTCTCAACCACTGCGCCACCAGGGAAGACTCATATCTTTATTCTTAACTCTTATTTATTGAATAATCTGTGAAGCACATCTTCTGCTGTAATAGACTAAGGTTTCAGGTGTTCTAATGAAGGTTTTACTGCCAGCATTGCAATTTTAAATTTGGAAATAGTCATTTCTTCCAGATCTCAGATGGCTTGACTTAGTGCTTGACTAGTACAGATTCAAAAATATAATATTCTCTTTAACTTTTCACCAAGTCTTTCTCCTTTTATTACACTGAATCTGCTGAAGTTGAGGAATATTTGGTTGATTTCTTCGATTGGCTCATTTCTTTTTTTTTTTTTTTTTTTGCGGTACGTGGGCCTCTCACTGTTGTGGCCTCTCCCGCTGCGGAGCACAGGCTCCGGACGCGCAGGCTCAGCGGCCATGGCTCACAGGCCCAGCCGCTCCGCGGCATGTGGGATCCTCCCGGACCGGGGCACGAACCCGTGTCCCCTGCATTGGCAGGCGGACTCTCAACCACTGCGCCACCAGGGAAGCCCGGCTCATTTCTTTTGAATTAACGTCTCTTTTTACGTGTTTGCTTATTTTTCTCTGTTCATCCTTTCAGGTCCAAGGTTGTCTAATATCAAAAGATTCTGGTAAATTCCAGTGGATATTGTGTGGTCCCTTCTTAGACTTTTCAGGCTCAGAGGAGGGGAAAGTAACACTTTTATATTTATATAATAATTGTATTCACCAGGTAGTGATATGTATTACGAGGGATTGAGAGGTAGGGAGAGCTGAAGGTGGGATACTTTGCACTCTGCCAAGGAGTTTTTGTTTAGTTTTCTTTTAGCTTTATTAAAGTATAATTGACAAATAACATTGTAAGATATTTAAAATGTACAGTACAATGATTTGTTATACGTGATATACATATTCATTGTGAAAGTATTCCCCCCATCAAGTTAATTAACACATACATCATCTCACGTATTTCCTTTTTGTGTGTGTGTGTGAGAACATTTAAGTTCTACTGTCTTAGCAAATTTCAGTTATACAATAATACTGCTACCACCATGCTATGCAGTAAATCCTCAGACCTTATTCATCTTAAAGCTGAAAGGTTGTACCCTTTTATCAACCTCTCCCTGTTTCCCCCACATTTCAGCCCTTGGCAATTAATTTTCTACTCTCTGTTTCTATCAGTTTGAATTTTTTGGTTAAGATTCCACACATAAGTGAAGTATTTGTCACCTTGTATATTGTGGATATTAACCTCTTATTGGATATGTGGTTGGCAAGTATTTTCTCCTTTTCCATAGGTTGTCTTTTCATTTTGTTCATAGTTTCCTTTGATGTGCAGAAGATTTTGTTTGATGTAGTCCCACTTGTTTATTTTTTGCTTTTCATTGCCTTTGATTTTAGTGTCAAATCCAAAAAATCATTGCCAAGACCAGCTTTAATGAATTTGTTTATTAGTTCTAACAGGTTTTGTGTGGAGTCTTTAGGGTTTTCTATGTATAGTATCATGTTATCTGCAAATAGAGAACATTTTATTTCTTTCTTTACAATTTGTATGCCTTTTTTATTGCCTAATTGCTTTGTCTAGGACTTCCAGTCCTATGTTGAATAAAAGTGGTGAGAGTGGGCGTCCTCGTCTTGTTCTTGATCTTAGAGGAAGAGCTTTCAGCTTTTCACTGTTAATACAATGTTAGCGTTTCTGTCTCCTGATAGACAGTGTACTGATGGGCCCAAGAAAGCATTTCCCTTTGATTTTTTTGTTTTCATTTCTCTGTTTACAATACTCATCTGTTCTTGAATCTTTTCTACTTTTTCCAATGAGGCCTTGACATATTAATCATAATTATTTTAAAGACCTATCTGATAATTGCAACATCTGTGTAATATCTGAATCTGTTT